TAAAATAAAACGCACAAACAGGGTTTGCTTTAAAGAATACGGTGCAAATTCCAAACATGGTAGGGTCGAATGCATGCAACTTCATTTCGTGATTCACTAAGCCAATATTTTCCATAATAAAAAAAAACCCATTCACTCATTACTTTTGCACAGTTAACTGTTGCAGAATTGAGTGGTGGTTAAACAGACATGAGTGAGTGAGGGAGGGAGTACGGTTTTACACAGCTTTTAGCAATATTCCAGCAAGATCACGACGGAGGAAAACCAGAAATGGGCTTCCCACAGTACCCGTGTGGGGAATCGAACCCAGTTCTTCGGCGTGACGAGCGAAAGCTTTAGCCACTAGGCTACCCCAACGCCCCTGAACAGACATGATCAAATTTAACAGCAGTTCCTTCACTGTTCGAATACACAAAAACACACACAGTATCTTCCCACTGTATTTGTACTCGTTGGCGGACCCCTAGTATGGTGATCTACCTTTAGTTGTTGGCGATCTATAGCCTATTTTTATATTGTGTTGTCCTCTATAGTTAAATTTTTTTAGATTTAATTTCTAGTCTTACATTTATATCTGTGATATTCTGGTTGTTTTACTGTCCTTTGTTGACAGGATTTTATAATCGATCTTTAATGATTGTTAATCTATAACTTGTTTTAGTCACGATATGGCTGAAATATTGCGAAAGTGACTAAATTTTAACTAACTCACTCACTCACTCGTTGGCGGACCTGACTTGATTCTTTGATACCAGTCAATGATGCTGATGCTTAAACGGTATAAGTATCTAAACCTAAACGTCGCTATTATACAATATATAAGTTGATTATCCATAAATACTTGTCATTCCCATACTGATAAAAAAGAACGGTCGTCTAAACGACACATATAGTGTAAAAATGATGGTACAGGGGTAGGCGAAGCGTATCATATACAAATGGAGCAATTTTAAACTAGATATTGCTGAAATAACTCGTTTTGAAGCCTATTCTTCCTCCTCCTCTTCTTCTTTCAAAAACCTTCCTTTATAAGCTCAAACATTTTCCCACTCACAACTCCTAGCTGACGGGATAAATATTTGTTGATTCAAAAAAGAAATAGACGGTACTATACCTGTTCTGTGTTTCTGAGTTTGAAGAAGCATTCAACAAGACCATTCATCCTCAACAAGCATCTCCCGCAAGTAAAATACCGAGATCACACTCCCCAAACCCTGATGCTTCTGTGTGTGTGTGTGTGCGTACGCGCGCGAGCGAGCGCGTGCGTGTCTCTGTGTGTCTGAGCGTCTGTGTGTCAAATGGATGTTCATGTCATTTCGGGGAATAATAATTACAAATTACTCAACATTATTACTTTCTCTTATGTTTTTGTTTTGCTAATAAATCTCCTCCAGGTGGGAGGGTTTTATGAAATCATAAATCCGAAAATCAGAAGAGTGCAATAGAAACAAATAAATATGACTCCTTGTGATCTGCTTATTCTGTTGCCTTTCACAAAAGAGTACCAAATCGGACGTGTACTGGCTAAAACCCTTAATCGATTCAAATTTACAAGCATCATTTCGAGGGTGAACTCTGTCAAATGGCTTGGAAATTCCAGTCCCTAAGTGACATATTTACTCCTGTTTTTTGATAGATTGACATTCAACTGTCGTCGCTTCAGAACCGTCACACCATGGAATTACCCAGTTATTTTATAGTTAAGAAACGCCTGGAAGCTTGCAGTGATTTCCTAAACCGTGCACCTGTATATGACCTGTCGTTAAAAGAATTATATTTTCTTGGTTTATATGAACGTGACGTATTTGTCAAGATACTGATGATGATGATGATAAAGATGATGGGATTATTTATATAGCGCACATATCCACACAACTAGTACATGCTCAAGGCGCTTGAATGTTACCTTGATCAACGGATGTCTTTTTTCTGGCATTCTTTTAACCATCTCAACTCCGTGGGGGAGTATTCAGTTCATGCAGCCTGTTAGGTGCAGCGAGTTATCACACAGCCTCATCCCCACAAGGTAGCCATTTGCAGCTGGGTAAACTGGGACACATAGTCACAGTATTTTGTCCAATGATACTGCACGTTACCACACCCGCAACTAGGTGTCTGCACCTAGTCTGATAATAACTGTCGCACAGTATAAACTATATACAGGCATACCAGATGTCTCGGGAACAGGGTTCTCTCTACATAACTGAAAAGTCAACTATGATATACCTATAATATAGTCTCTAATATCTGCACACACAGATTCCATTCAAGGCAACAAAATGATTAAAAGATCCATGACAGGTCCACTGAAAAGGCCGACCGGCGAGTCGGACTGTGCTTTCACCATACCATGGCGATTCATGGAAGCGTATACATGATTAAAAGTGACAGATAATATGCAGAGTGTTTTGTCCTTGTATGTCCATGTCGAAAGAACGAACACTTTGTAAAATCAAAATGTTATAATCAGCATGTTCCTTTCCTCTCGCTGGTACGGATCGCTATTGTGAGCGAGAAATATACGATTGTAGATTCGAATCCCTGGTTCGAAAGATTGTGTTTCTTCTCTTCTCAGCACAATACCCGTGCTGGTTGGTAAACAAAGGTTTCAAAGTTTCACCAAATCATTCAGGCTGTCTTCCCTCGTTCAGCTCACCCACCCGTGACAGGACTTTAATTCAACGCTACACATGAACGGCGTTGTAACTTCAGTAAAATCTCCCCAGAAATCGGGTAAAGGTTACTAAATTTACCATTCATAGTTCTGTACCAAATGCAGTGTAATGTTAGTGATATTCACAGTCACGTACAGGACCAGTTACCCAACACCATTGTCATCTGAAATTACCACACGAATGCAGATTTAGAAAAGGCAAAGTAATCAATATCTTGCAATCAGAGCAGAAAACGGCTCAATACATGCAGGCTCATATTGCCGCACAACTGACTTCTATTGTGTAAGGAACACCAAGGCCATTGTAAATATCTAACGTAAAAAGAGCCCTAACCGATTTGAATATTTGCGAAACAGATTCTACGTAGAAGATAGAGTTAGATTGTGACCATGCTAGACACGAATATATAAGTCATGCAGAAAAAAAATATTGTTTCTAATTTGAATTTGATGCCAAGGATATGATATTATTACCACAAATTGGCTTTCTAACCTTTGGGAAATATGTCTCCTTTTCAACTAAGCGATTAAAGTTTTATTCCTTACGCTAACCCTCATTGGAAACAAATTCATAGATCGGGGAAACCATTCACTTGAGATAATATGAAACCCTTTATGACGAAAAATAACCAATTTTATGTTAGGCGGTGTTAACTTTATTACGTCCTTTAAAACGAATCCTTAAGAAGCAATGTTATTATATTTCTGAAGAAAATTGAATTGAAACGATTATGTCACTTTCCCAGCTCTCTTCTTTGATACTGGGCAAAGTGTTTCGAACATTTTATTACATTTAACAAAATATTTATAAATCATGTTTTTTCGATGCATTTGATATTCCGTTCTATTACTGGGATGAAACTGTGATTGAGGTTTAATCTAGCTGCTTTCAGCAAAGTCCCGTGTGTAATGGCTACTCCTTCTTTTACGAAATTAAGCCATCTTATTCAATTTTGAAAACGTCCTAGTTGTATTTATGTTCATTGCGCGAATAAATAAGAGATGTTTAACGTCCCTTTGAAAACAAATTCAATTTTATCTCGTGTCAACATGATAAACCCGCTGGCGCTGGGGATTTCTCAGATGGTTTCACCCACGACCACTCACGAAACACATTCATGCTTTGAAATCCCCGGCTTCTGATGCACTTAAGGGACGCAACTCCGTACACCGGATTAGTCGTAAAACACAAGACGACGTATAATTGCATGGGCATATATCTGGATTCACAATTGCATCGTATGTTGCACTATTGGAAAAGAAGTAACTGTGATTCACATTAAGTGGTGTAAGTAGAGTTGTAACGATGCATCGAACTAGCGATGGATTGCAATTGTTTTCCTCCTGTAGATATGTATAGCCATTGAAACATCTAAAAATCGGCTCCAACTTTACTTCCGTGTATCGACCATGACGTAACGTCCATGATGCCTAAGCTAACACCGACATGTGATGGAATGGTCCTAAAGCAACACTGTCTGTGGTATTGCACGCACGCACGCACGCACGCACGCACACACGCACGCACACATCCCGCAGACCGTCCTCCACTATTCTGCGTTAGGATTGAGGAGCGATTGTATTGTGATTGGTGGTCAAACCAGATATTGAGTGATAGAATGGCTATAGATCCCATTCAACTTCAGATCACGTTTACAAAGGAAATGTGTTGACAATGTCATGACGAATTCTATTTTCATGGGCATCCACATATTACTATATTGCATATTAGTAAATCATAGATTTGTATAAAGAGACATGATGGCGCAATGTCACACATCAAGCTGACACGATGTATATCGACAATAGTGATCAAAGCGGAGTGAAAACTGATTGTCATCCCCATGAAGAGACAAATTAAACCCAAAATCATTTAATTCAAATTGATTTAACGTAAACATGCATGTGCAACATACTTTATATACTTAATATATAAATTCTGCTAGTCATAACTACAAGGTGGTAATCAGTGTTGTTCTCTACATATTGTGTGATGGTAGTTTAAGTAGCCCGACAGCCTTACCACATGCGATTCACTCACTATACTCTTTAGTCCTTCCACAAACCCACTGTACTACAATGATGACAAGACTATAAAACATTGAGATCATCACTGATCATGACAGTGATCGGCCAACTGAAGCATTGCACATTCTACTCCTAACATATTGGTAACCGTTACAATTATCCTGAAGAGTGACCCTTGAGACAAAACATTTCTTAATTACATAATACAATTAAAGAGATTCAATGATGTACGTTTCGGAATCACTACAAAAACGTTTCTGAAAAGAAGAGAGTCACTTGTCAACAGTTCACCCTACACTTACTTTAATGGATAGCCCTGTGAAACAAGAACGTTATACAATCCAAGGTGCCCTTCAAGCTTTGCTATCATGGCTGCTGTTTTCCCACTCTTGTCTTTGGCGTTAATGTTGACCATATTCTGTGAGAGGATGTGCTTCACAATCTCCACATGTCCACACCAAGAGGCCAGATGTAGGATGTTGTCACCATTGCCATCAACCAAGGCAATTTCACCACCTTTCTTCACAAGCAGATCAAACACCTTTTTATGTCCATGATACGCTGCTCTCATCAATGGTGTCCTCCCGTATTTTCCTCTACTGTTAATGTCCACCAGGTTTTGTGATAGGATATGCTGAACCATCTTTGCATGTCCCCTAACTGAAGCATGGTGAAGTATGTTGTTGCCTTCATCATCCACGTGTGACACATTAGCTCCCATACTCAACAGAACATCAAAAACGTCTCTGTGTCCATGACGTGCAGCCTTCATCAGGGAAGTCGTTCCGTATTGTCCTCTACTGTTGACATCAATACTTAAATTTATGATTACATATTTCACCAACCCAATATATCCACCTTTGCAGGCCCAATGCAGGATGTTGTTGCCATAGTCATCCACTTCTGACACATTGGCGCCCTTACTCACAAGGTACGTAGCCACATCTCTGTGTCCATAATACACAGCTATCATCATAGGTGTTGTCCCTGCGTTTGTTCTACTGTTTACGCTGCGTTGTAAGAGTACATACTTCACCATATTTACGTGTCCTCCTTTGCAAGCGAAATGCAGGATAGTGTTGCCATAGTCATCAACTTGTGACACGTTAGCTTCTTTACTCACGAGGAAAGCAAACACGTCTTTGTGTCCCGTATACACAGTTACCATCAGGGGTGTTCTTCCACTATTTGTTTTACTGTTGATATCAACATTGTATTGTAAGAGAACATACTTCACCATTTCCACATGCCCCCCTCTGCAGGCAAAGTGCAGGATGTTGTCGCCGTCATCATCGACTTGTGCAACGTTAGCTCCAATACTCACCAGGAACTTACAAACATTGATGTATCCATAATATACAGTTATCATCAGGGGTGTTCTTCCACTGTTTGTTCTACTGTTGATATCAACATTGTATTGTAAGAGTAGATACTTCATCATACCCACATGTCCCCCTCTGCAGGCGGAGTGGAAGATGTTGTCGCCGCCATAATCGACTTGTGCCACGTTAGCTCCCATACTCACCAGGAACGTACAAACATTGATGTATCCATGATATACAGTTACCATCAGAGGTGTTTTTCCTGTGTTTGCTCTACTGTTGATATCAAGATTGTGTTGTAAGAGTACATACTTCACCATTCCCACATGCCCCCCTCTGCAGGCAAAGTGCAGGATGTTGTCGCCGTCATCATCGACTTGTGACACGTTAGCTCCCATACTCACCAGGAACTTACAAACATTGATGTATCCATAATGTACAGTTACCATCAGAGGTGTTTTTCCTGTGTTTGTTCTACTGTTGATATCAAGATTGTGTTGTAAGAGTACATACTTCACCATTTCCACATGCTCCCCTCTGCAGGCAAAGTGCAGGATGTTGTCGCCGTCATCATCGACTTGTGACACGTTAGCTCCCATACTCACCAGGAACTTACAAACATTGATGTATCCATAATGTACAGTTACCATCAGAGGTGTTTTTCCTGTGTTAGCTCTACTGTTGATATCAAGATTGTGTTGTAAGAGTAGATACTTCACCATACCCACATGCCCCCCTCTGCAGGCCCAGTGCAAGACGTTGTCGCCGTTATCATCAACTTGTGACACATTGGCTCCTTTTCTAATCAGAAAATCAAATATTCTTCTATGTCCCTCCTGTGCCGCCATCATGAGTGGTGTTCTTCCATACTTCTTGTCCTTTCTGTCGACTTCAGTCTTACTCCGGGACAGGATGCGCCTCACCCGGCCTAGGTTCCCATTCTTACAGGCGTCGTGCAGTTGACCCAATGCACGGATTTCCTGCTTGTCCGTATAGTCTTGTGGATGTCTCTCAGTGTAGTTCCTCAGCCAATCTGTTGACGTATAGTGATAGAATGTCAGCTATTCTGCAGCATGATTTATTGCTGTAAACTAGAGTAACAACTGTGTACAATTGCTTCCTTTACATCGACCGGTGACAATTGGTCTTCAGAAACTATGCTTGTCATAAGCAACGACTAACGGAATGGTTGTCACATACTTTACCTGCCATCTTTACATTTCTGTCAGATTTTGGTCATATACTGCACGATACCTTAAATGTCTGTCTCGGAACTTAACAAACACTATTAGTGAGTGAGTATGGTTTTACGCCGCTTTAAGAAATATTTAAGCACTCGATTATATACAGGCCGCCGCCATACAGCTGGAATATTGCTGACTGCGGCGTTAAATAACTGAGGGAGTGAGTTTAATTTTACGCCGCACTCAGCAATAATTCAGCTATATAAGTCTGTAAGTAATCGAGTCTGGACCAAGCAATCCAGTGATCAACAGCATGAGCATCGATCTGCGCAATTTGAAACCGATGACATGTGTCAACCAAGCCTGACCGCCAGTTAGTCGCCTCTTACGACAAGCATGGGTTACTGAAGATTAATTCTAACCCGTACCTTCGAGGATCCTTAAACAACAGACATATAAAGTAATCAACAACATTAATCACACAAGTATTTACACAATTCTTGGGTGACGTTCACTTTGTGTGCGTCAGAAAAGAAACAACCTCGGCATTAAGGTGAGGTGAACTTAGGTTTAACGTCGTCCTTGAACATATTTCGTTCATATGACTAAGTGCATGCCTGTGTATGTGCAGCTGCTTGTACTAGCCCAGACTGAAGCTGGTTTTATAGTGCTAGCCCACTGAGATACCATGCCGCAGTGAAGCATGAATACCCCACTCAGACACATTATACTGACTCCGTGCCCACCAGTCCTTGTTGTACCCATTAATGCCGAGCGCCAGGCAGGGACCAACAAGTACCATATGTTAACGTCTTTTGGAATGACGCGGTCGGGCATCGAACCCGCGACCTTCCGCTCTCCGGGCGGACGCTCTAACCACTACACCACGGAGGCGGTCTCGGTATTAAGAGGGTAAAGTGCGGGTTCATGGATGACTACACAGTGTTTTCATCATCCTTTGTCCTTCTGAAAGGTGAAACACCATGATCACACGCCCATCATACATGTGAACATAACCCCTCCTTTTTCGGTGGTGGTGATCTAAAAAGACTCCACTTAGTTGTTGCTAACAGTGAGTAAGAGAGTTTGGTTTTACGCCGCTTTCAGCGATATTTCAGCAACATCACGGCGGAGGACACCAGAAATGGACTTCACACATTGTACCAATGTGGGGAATCGAACCCGTGTCTTCGGCGTGACGAGCGAACGCTTTAACCACTAGGCTACCACACCGCTTCTGTTGCTAACACCTACACTTGAAGTGGGAAACACATGGTTTACTCATAGTCCTAAATCTTTAAGGGGCGGTGGGGTAGCCTTGTGGTAAAATCGTTCGCTCGTCACGTCGAAGACCCGGATTCGATTCCCCATATGTGTACAAGCCCATGTGTGAAACCCACTTCTGGTGTCCGTGATATTGTTGGAATATTTCTAAAAGCGGCGTAAAACTAAACTCACTCACTCACTCATAAATGTTTGCAAGAACCTATTTGTACACATGAGCATTAAACAGGCATTTTATACATGAAACCACTACACGTTATTGTATATGCTGTGAAAACCAAATTCCACGTATTATAATGATAATTTCAACACATTTGATTAAACCAAAACAAGTCCAAACTGAAATTTCATAACAATTTACTTGCAATCTGAGCATAATACACCAAAACGTGAATATTAACAAGGCCAGAACGCATGGTCACCATGACCACGCTACCAAACTTTTTTTCACACAGTTCTTCTATAATGATTGTTGAACCACCACTGGCAACCATATCAGTACCTTGTGCAGCCACCTCACTCACAGATAACATAAACTAGTCCACACCCCATACTTGCCATCAAGCATCAACTTCTCAGCTTCGGAACCTTTTGCCTTTCGTCGTGGAGTGCCCGTGTAACTTATCCGATTTTGAACAGGAGGATATCTCCAGCTCGACCCCAAGATTTATCAGAGTGCGTTAAACGATTATCAATCAGTGAACAGAAACAAATACAGTGAATGACCACGGTCGTCCAGAACGTGCCCTGGTGCCCCGTCAGTCATTCCCTGTAAAGGTTCAAAATCTGCTTGAACCTTCAGAGATGGAATTCATTCTTGCACTCCCTGTCCATGGAAGTAGATCTCACTCTAGTTCAAGAACTCCAATTGAGCCTCCACGAACCTCCATCAGCTCAAATACCGCAATTCATTGGAATTGTATGAAATATATTTTCAAGAAAACGATCAAATTTATACAAGAAAGTATAATTCATACAACAGCTTTCTCCTCCAGGTCAAAAAGCTCGTCCTGCTTGACCGGGTTGATGGTTTCTATCATAAGGGACAGTTATTCCAATGTTTCATCTGCAAAGGTTCTTTTTAATCATGACAATGATTCATCTTTTAATCACTGAATGTTAACAGAAATTTGAATTATTTGCTACATTTTGACATTGCAAAGATACTTCATGTCTAATATTGGGAGCGTATAATTTGCAACTTATATGGCAAGTGGCTGGATTTTTGAAGGGGCTTGAAGTAGTGTAATATCATTGTCACGACGAGAGGGATATGTCTAATGACATTATTTAATTTATTTTATTCCTACTGAGTAGTATATATGTGAATATCTCTAAGGCAGTGTGTAAATCTGACTGAGGAAACTGTGTAGGAAACACAGTATTGTAAATCCCCACGGTCCCTACAATGGTGGCCCAATTTTGGATGCTAGTGATCTCTAGCCCGGTTTCATAATGGGTTGTGGAAAATTAATGTAGCATTTTAATATGGTCTCAGACTTGCTTTTGGTTTACTCTGCGATATTATAGTTGCTATTCTGTTATTCGATATCAGGTTCTAAAAGTAGAAATGTACATTTTACTTATATATGACTTTCTGTCGTCACAATATGGTTGAGATACATGTATTGACGATGTGACGTAAAATTTTAACTCGCTCTCTTACTGTAACTCTGGCTAGATGATATTGTCAAGAAACAAATCCAGCCATTACCTTGTTCACAGACGGCTTTTCCAGATCGAGTTTCTACGCATCGTTGTCCGAAGCCGCAATCCTTGGATGCACAGGCGCCAGTCGAGATCTCAAAAGGAGAGGAATAAGTTGTACATATACTGAACCGCAAAAAGAAACGTCACCTTTCCAAACCAAATGCAAAATTTTGTTCTTACAAGGTGGTATTTATATTATGATTGTACCGTTTTGTTAACACGTTTTTCAATCTAAAATAACAGTTATAACTGTGTCAGTGTGTTTCGGAGGAAAAAAATATCGACCAAACTCACCTAAAAGGCGGACGTGGTAAAAGGTTTCGTATGGCATTCGTGAAAATGAAAATGCACGTGCACACCGACAAACCTACCAATAAAAGTGAGTCCCAAACTTACTTGAAATCATTCTTGCTTTCACACAATCGCCATGCCACGACTTACAAGAGATCAGATGAACCAATCCTGGGGACAATTGCAAGTTGGCCAGACTATGCGAGTGTAGCCAGTCATGTTTATGTTCATGTTAGGACAATATACCGACTGCAGGAGCGATATCAGGCCATTAACAGCATCCATGACCGTCCACGCACTGGACGACCAGTAACATTACAACGTCAAGACCGACAGTTTTATGAGCAACCATCTGCAGGATCGCTTCACCAGGGGGGCGGAAACAACACGCCAGACCACTGGGACTCACAACAGATCCATTAGTGTCGATACAGTGCGTCGATGTTTGCCTAGAGGAAACCTCTACTGTCACAGACCATATCATGGTCCTGTCCTCACCGCTCGTCACCGCCAAGACCGACCGCAATGGGCATCTCAGTATCGAAATTGGTGTTGTTGACAATTGAGAAGTGTGCTTTTTTCAGATGATAGTCCAGGAGGAGGCAGCTGAAAAATTTGAAATCGTAGCCTCCCCAGTACTGATTTAGTTTGACGCTGTTTTCAGTTAGTCTGATGTCATGGACTCATGAAAAGGCCTGTTATACTCTCAGATTGTGGTATCAGTTTATTTACAGGCCATTATATGTGGTGGGGATATGCGAGCATTTTCGTGACATTTGGTTTGCTGCCCGACAACACCTCAAAGTTAATCATGGATAGTTTTACTACCGTCAGTATGATCACTTTCATTTTGACTCCTGTGTATTGCTAAAGGATGTAGAAATTATTTGACATATTTTTGTTTTTAAACAAAATGAAAATGGTTGCCATTTTGTTTTGTATTGTTTTGTCATTTCAGCGCTTAAATTTACACAAAATTGAATGCCGCATGTGTCCATGGTCATATTCATAATATAGTGTTTTACAGCTTATTCTTTGAGACAAGGGTATTTTAGCGATTCGCCAACTATTCATGGAAATGCGTAGTGGTGATTTATTTTTTGAAAGGTAAAAATTATTTTTTAACTAAAAGAAGTTGTGTTTGTTTCCACTTTACTTCTAGGGTGACGGCATGTTATTAGAATTTGTTACATAGTACCCAAAATTCAAAATTGCCACCAACATGGCCGCCATTGTAGTTTTACTACATATACATATTGGAGGACCAAATTTGTACTGATGACTCAGTACGAATTTAGTTCTCCACTATGTATATATTATACCTAAAATGGCGGCCGATTTGGCTTCCATTTTGAATTTTGGGTAATATGTAACAATTCCCAATAACATGCCGTCACTCTAGAAGTAAAGAGGAAACAAAAACAACTTGCTTTAGTTTCAAAAATAATGTTACCTTTCGTTACATAAATCCCCACAACACACTTTCATGAAAAGTCGGAGAATCGCTAAAATACCCCTGTCTCAAAGAATAAGCTGTAAAACATTATATTATCACGATATCACC